GATGGCTTTCTTGAGCCACAGTTTTAATGAGAGAGTGTTTTGCATTCATAAGGCATTCAAATAGGCATCAAAACGGCGTCTCAATCATAGGTTCTCGCAATTCATTATATCCGTCAAAATGTAGGCTTTAAATCAAATGATGAGCACAAGTGAAGAGCTATTTGATGGCATCACAAACACAATACATATTACATATTAGCTCTTAGAGAGGCGTATGGACTCAATGTGTTTCAATGGGCTTCTCATGTATTATGGCTATAATGTAGAGCCACTCCTCGTAAGCAATAAATGTTTGAATGAATCAAAATTGGATTGCATTTGGGATAACACGGACTCACATCTCATTCCTAACCCAACACTACCAGTGCTATTATGACTGACGATCAGATTCACAGCAATCACATTGATTACAAGCAAAGCCATAGTCGAGGCAAACATACATTTGTTATATTAATAAATAAATGAATGACTGAATGAGTGCCTAAATACGAGCCAAACCTTATGTATCGCAGCTTTTATGCGCTATTATTAACAAAACTATTTTAATAAAACATTTGAATTTTCTTCCATTTATTCAATTCTTTATAACATTTTTGTTTTGAATCCCATTTTTGCTAATAAAAGCTCTTATAATATATTATTTCACTTATTATTACACATAACATAATGTAATGTACAGTAAAGCACACTATACTTCACTCTACTCTACATAATATATACTTAATATTTAATAATAAAATTACATATTCTATACATAAAATTGCTTTTTTCTTTGAATTTCTATTTTCAAATATAATTTAAAATATTCTGCTTATTAATGAATTCAAACAATACATACATATTATTAGACGAGTCTATGAATGAATGAATTTGTCAGGAATTCGCTCATATTTTGGTCAAAACTTTTTAATCTATATAATTGAGTCGCTTATGAATATAATCTAAACGTTATGTAACTGTATGTATATTACTGTATAAATAATAGTGAATACATTACATTAGGATATTTGCAAAAATGTTTGCAGAATATAATTTAATAATACATTTAATATGATGTTTTAGGCTATTATTTGTTTGAAAACTTTATTTTTCAATGTTTTCATATTCTCATACATAAAACAATTTATTTTACATTAATTAGTCTCAACGAAAACACGCCTAATATTTAAGTTTTTATTGTATATCTAATTAAATAAATTTTATTCATTGGCATAAATAGAGACACATTTTTATCAACTTTAATGTCATTTTGTTTGTGAATCTAAATTAACACGTTATCTAAAATTTGTAGCATATTTTTTGGAAACTGTTTTAAATCACAATTTATATAAAGAATTTATTTCATAATACTTATGGTTAAATTTGTGTATTTTCACCATTTGAATACAAAAATATTCTCATGGGAAAAGTAGGATATTTACAAAAATTATATCACATTTTGTGAAATACTACAAAACAGCTATTCATTTAAATTAAACATAGATTTAGTCGTAAATATCTTATCTATTAAATAGAGTTTTTGGAAAATACATTCAATTAAATAGTCGTTTTGCTATATATTGCTCATTAAATATTAACAAAAGAATTACTAACTTGTTTGGAAACATTTAATCTCTAATACCGGTATTTATTAAATGTAAAAAACATATGAACCCTATTGACTAAAATATATTATAGGTCATGTACATTTTGTTAGTTTTTAATAAATAAATACAATATTCTACTAAAGAATTAAAATTTTATTTATTGTTATAATATTGTTTATGCATTTTAGTTTGTCAAGTTATTATATATTAGAAAAAAAGATTTGTAATTTCATGTAAACTATTAATTAAAGTTAAACAATTTTTAGCCCTTTGATTATTGTTAGGCTACTATTGTTTGATTAATTTTGGGTAAACATATAAATTTATAATAAATAAAAATGTTGTTATAAATTTAACTTATAATTCTTTATTCTATATAACATTATTGTCTATATATTCTGGTGAAATTACAATAAGGTTCAAATGCTGGCATCTACTGGTTATTGTATACAAATATTATATGTTATATAATTCTTTACAATATTACTATGAACTTCCACCTTATTGAGTTGACAAGGTAGATTATAGTGAAATTCTATGTAAATTACAATAGATTTCGAATATTTATTATAACTGTTTATTTTGGACATTCAAATAAGACAATTAGCAAGGATGAATCGATATTGTGTATTTGAAGTTCATTAAATGAACATAGAAATATTATTCTCAACTACAATTATTATAAACTAACAAAACATTTAAATGACATCTAATATATCTTTATAAATTTTGTTGCATTCAATTTTTCCCGACTTTATTAGTTTAAATTAAACTGGATTAGTTGGAATTTATAAATTTGTAGTAATCTCTTTGAAATAACACTAATATACTAACTACAAGTTTTTAAAACTTAATTTAAAACAATAAAATAAAACTATTAAATTAACTATTAAGTCTTTCAAATATTTATTATAGAAAATCTTAACTAATAATTCATAAGGGGATATATTTTTGCAAGGTTATAATCTCTGATATCAGATTCATTTGAAACGTATTTTGATTGACACAACATTTAATGCCTGGAAATAGTATTTGTTAATAAAATTAAATATTGCAATTTTGCAAATAATATTTCCGTTAAATATCGAGACAGAGAAAGACAATCATTACTATAAATATGATATTTTATGTTTATTTGAATATTAATGAGGAGTTGAACTAATATTTATT